CCCCCCCCCCCCCCCCCCCCCCACAATAGACACCCCCCCCAGACTAACGGACACTTCCGACATATCGGCACGCCCTCGTTTCACCGGAATTTAGACAACATTGTGCTACGTCACACCCTCCTTGTTGGCACGCTGGAAAACATCGCAGGCAGCTCTTCTCTGTCCGTGGCAAGGGTGTGCGTGATTGCTGGACGACAACACAGTGCGATCCAAAGGTATTGCTGTAGCTTTGCTGTAAACCTGTAGACACGAACACGCTAGCTTACCCACCCACAGGCAGCATATGAGAGTCTGCCGAAAATCGGAAGGCTGACGGCTCCGAAACGACTTCGACGCAACGACCCGACGCGCCGGTGCATCCTAAGCAACAACCCGAAAGAGTATGTGCACGTTCGGACTACACTACTACTGCTGTAGCATCCTCGTTGCGGCCTTGATGCATGTTGTGTTGTGTGTTTTCGTCCTATTTATGATGGCGACAGTATCCCCATTTTCGTGGTGAGACGTGTACTACACTTTTCAGCGCATGGAGAGTTCTACACTTTTCAGTGTATTTTTTCGTATACAACTACAGCCATCCAGGGTCACACAGGAGGGGGTAAACACACGGGTTTTTTTCTTTTTATTTCTTTTCGTGCCCCACCTTCCTCCGTCCTGCGGTGCGTGCCGAATTTAGATTTTTTTCGCGAGAAGGGTCCAGCCGTCCCTGGGGCGACCGGGTATGCAGTAAATCGAATGCCTATACAGACAGGGCGGTGGATGCTCAGGGGTGGCTTTCATGCACTCTCACTTCGAACGGATGGCATGATTATCTCGAGGGAGAGATCCCCCATCGAGCCTTCCTCAGAGAGGAGAGCCGGAAACCGCTGAAACTCCGACTCGCGTCATCCGTAGACTAGATTGTTTGAAACCTGGTCTGTGTGTGAATGCTATACAGCATTTACCCTGAATTGTAGTTTCCTCGCGAGACCGATGCTAGCAGCCACCAACCAACGACAGTTAGGTGTTCAAGAATACGAGCCTGGGCAATGACGGCCTCTCAATAACAAGGACGCTGTGCGTTCTGTGACACGTGCGTTCTGTGACACGTGCGTTCTGTAACACAAACACTTGACTGGGAAAGATAGAACGATTACCGATTTGTTTTGTTCCAACAGCGGCACACCGAGGAGGTACCCAGTCCCCACCCAGTCCAAATATCAGCGGCGCTGATTAACATGCATGCGACACGGAGACTCAGTCACTCACACTCACTCACATACATGAACACGCAACTCACTCACGCACCCACCTTTGTCGACGGGTCCACCTCGAACAGGGTGGGGTAAAAAATTGCAGCCGCCTCGGTTTCGATAGGCTTGAGAAGAGCATGGGTCCTTCGCACCTCTGCCTTGTACGCTTCCTCTCGGGCGGCGCGGGTCGTGAACATCGTTGAGTCGGTTGTCGGTTGCTGTGGTGGGGATATAATAGAAGGCTCCTTGAAGGAAGAGGTATGTATCCGACCGTACGCAAGGGAGTGTGCGGAACGCTGAGGTGTGTGTAGATTGAAAGTTGAACGCGATATGTCTGTAGCGAGAGCGAGAGGTTCAGCACAACTAGGATGTTTGCGGAATGGTGTTGTGATTTCATCTTGGAAGTTCCAGAAAGTTCGAGATGAGATCAATTGCAATATTTGATCTCGAAACCGGCTTGCGAAGATGCGAGTGAACTGTTTGTCGCCTTGATCACACAGAAATTTCCAGGAACGCAATAATTTACAACAGCGGAGCCCCCTTTTCGGCAGCAGACTTGGTCCCACTCGGCACAACCTACATCCGACCTTCCGCCTCCACCCCCACCGCAAGGCTACCACCACATTACACTCACAACCGCTGCTTAGTAATCATGGAGAACTATGGAGGTCAAGGTACTCAAGAGAAGGCTGGCCCGGTTCAGTTGCCGGGTGTTCATGGCAACACGAGTCCTCCGGCGAGGGCCGCTCCCCTCGCCAGAGTTTCGGGGAACACACAGCACCAAGGCCAAGGACCTCCTCCTCCTACTAGGCTACCGCTGCCCCGCGGTTTAGTGATACGCGTCGCAGTCATCAACGGAGTCTGTCTATCGTCCGCGACAGACGAATCACCGGAGCACGGTCCACAGGACGCACGCGCAGCAGCTCCTCACGCTCCCACGCCGCTTGAAGCATCCTTAACTCCATCACCTCCGCCTCTGATCGATAATTCGGGTGGCTCAGTTGTGTGCGATGGGAGTGTAGANTGTCTATCGTCCGCGACAGACGAATCACCGGAGCACGGTCCACAGGACGCACGCGCAGCAGCTCCTCACGCTCCCACGCCGCTTGAAGCATCCCTAAC